AAAATCTTCCAAGTCCAGAGTTACAAAGTTGCTGCTGACCTATCTTCTTTGTTTTGTTTTTCAAGACAGGGTTTCTCTGTGTAGCCTACACTATCCTGGAACTTGTTCTGTAGACCAGGTTGGCTTTGAGCTCAGAGATTCACCTGCCTCTGCCACCCAAGTGCTGGGATTTTCGGTGTGTGCGCCCCCACACCTGGTATATAGAGCCTAGATAGAGTCTCATTAGATGCTGACTGCAGCAGTGCTTGTTCTTATCTGAATTTGGAATTTATTTTGCTTTTATAGAAAGGGTTCCAAATAGATCAGGCTTGCCTCAAACTCACTAGATAGTCAAGGGTGACCTTGAACATGTCATCCTCCAGCCTCCACCTCTAGACTCTGGGATTATAGTGTGCATGGATGCACATGATTTATGTGGTGCTGGCATCAAATCTGGGACTTTGCATTTGCCAGGCAAGTGCTCTACCACTAAGCCACACCCAGCCCTACTTGGGAGTTTCTTTTGTAACTGCTGATCACCTAGGGCACTGGTTCTACACCTGTGGGTCACAATCCCTTGGGCTGAATGGTCCTTTTGCAGGGGTCACCTCAAACCATTGGAAAATACAGATATCTACATTACGATTCATAACAATAGCTGAACTACAGTTATGAAGTAGCAATGAAAATAATGTTATGGTTGGGGGTACCACATGAGGAACTGTATGAAAGGGTCACAGTGTTAGGAAGGTTGAGAATCACTGACCTTGGGGTTTGTGTATTTTACTTAATGAAAATGTATTCATATGTAGTTTTCTCCCTCTAAAGTATAGTTATTTGGTTTGTCATGGGAATGAATACTTCCAGGGCTGTGATCCAATTTATGTGCCTGACATTCATCAGTTTTTTAACTATACTTTGTATTATACAGGATTTTTTTTTTCAGCAGCAGACCCATGAAATCTTATTAGCTTTTTTGAAAAAAATTTGCATCAGCACTTCATTTGTGTTTGTTCTGCTAAATTACCTTGACGTTTTAATTGAAAGGCAGTTTATTATAATTTTTGTCTCACTATTATAAAAAGTCATGGAAATATTTAATGATCGTGTAGTTTGAACCCTCTGTGATGAGCAGGAAATCATCCTGTCTGCTTGACTTTGAATAGATGACACTCACTCACTGAATATATCAAGGCTGAACTGAAATTCAAGTAGAAATCAAATTCAGACTTCTGACAGCTTCTACGCTCTGCATGCCCCTGAACGCTAAGGGATGTATGTATCGAATCAGTGTGCTCTCAGCTGTCTTTACCTCATTCTGATTAGAAGGACGTTCACTTAACTCTTCCCTGTGTAAATTGTTTGAATCTTGGGTTTCTGCAGTAGAAAATGATTTCAGCATAGCCATCCAGTGATGTTTGTGTTTTAAAGCCCTCTTAATCATTTTTTTTTTGGGGGGGTTTCGAGACAGGATTTCTCTGTGTAGCTTTGGAGCCTATCCTAGCACTAGCTCTGGAGACCAGGCTGGCCTCGAACTCACAGAGATCCCCCTGCCTCTGCCTCCCGAGTGCTGGGATTAAAGGCTTATTCCACCAACACCTGGCCCTCTTAATCATTTTTTATAGAAATGAAAGAAGCAAATAGTGAGATTGAAGAGATGGCTTGACCCCTGCTGCTGTTGCAGAAGACCCCAGGGTACCATTCCCAGCACCCACATGGGGCATCTCACAACTACCTGTAACTCCAGCTTTAGGGGACCCAGCATCCTCTGAATTTTTCTCCAGCCCCATTTAGCTTGTCTTTAATCTCTGCATAAACCACAAACAGCATCTCAGTGACTGTCTCACATGTGTCTGTACCCACACACATAGAGCATAAAGTCCCAGACATGGAATTGCTACATCAAAGAGTAAACACATTTATTTAAGGTAGATATTTCCAGATCACCAACCAGAAGATGAACTATGAGGCCATCAGCAGTGTTTAACCTCAGTAGAACTTACACTTTCCAGGAACATTTCTTCAGAGGCTCCTTATGAGTGTGGGCCAAGAGAGCTGCTTGGCCTTGAGGTTGTCTGACAAGGTCTGGCTTCTCCGACTGCTATTCCTCATGGGTAGTCCATGTATGTCTGTGTAGCAAGCATGGTAAAAGTCAGTAGACTGTCATGTCACCTTCAAAACCCTGTGTACCTCTTATTATATTTTTATTTGCCATATCAGTTCTCTTATATCATCATGATTGTTTCAGTCATTATATTTTAATTTATCTGATTATAATTTCACTTAGGGATATAGCTCCTTCAAAAATAGAAACATAGGATTTTCTTTTTGTAAGGGGGTTCTTTGTTTTGTCTTGTTATAGTTTGATTTGTTCTGTTTCGAAACAAGATCTCGCTGTAGCCCAAACTGTCTTGAGAAACCTCTGTGGAGTCCAGGCTGGCTTTGAACTCAAATCCTCTGTCCCCCCCTTCTTAGTGCTAGGTTTACAGACATGAGCCAGAATGTTAAGGTAGGAAGATTATTTCTAACCGTGTTTCCTAAAGCATCCAATTCCATCAGTATGTGATCCTGTGTTCAGGAGTAGTAGTTGCTGGTCCTTATGAGCTGAAATTTTTTTGTCATTTATTTGAGTACTTTTTTGTTTTAAACCCTAGCTGATGTGTTCTTGGGTGAGTAGTCCTTTCTACACTGATTAACACTGAGCAATCATTAAGTGACTGTACATTGGAAACAGAATACACTATAAGATCTATGTGCACCACACATGAGACACCCAACCAATAGATTGTGAGCTCGAGGTGCTAGGTTGTGCTTTATTTCTGTGACTCTCTTGTCTTGGGGTGGGGCTGGGGCTGAAGAAGTGGCTCAGTGGTTAAGAGTGCATAGTACTCTTAGAGAGGACCTGAGTTCAATTCCTAGCACCTATAACTCCAGCTCCAGAGGAATCCAGTACCTCTGGTACCCTGGGCATGTGCACTCACACACGAGCACACACACGCACACACTCATTAGGAAAAAAATAAAACTCTTATGGGCAAGCAGGATGGCTCAGCTTGTTATGCAAGCCTGAACCCATATAAAGGTGGAAAGAGAGAACCAACTCCCCAAAAGTAGCTTTTTACCCTCTACGTGAGCTCTATGGCACTCACACTCACACAGATGTCATACACACATGCAGGATGATATGATGCATACAGTTTTAAAAAAAAGAACTTCTTGAAAACGATGCCTGTTTTCAGGTAACTTGGCTGCTCATGTGTCTGTAACAGGGCCACAGTGTTACGCAGCAGTAGGGCTTGGCTCCACGTCATCCTTTTGCTCTAGCTTCATATCTATCTCTCTCACAGAAATAAAGGGAAGCCAGAGTAATTACCCGATATTTACATTATTAGAAGACACTATTTTTAGTCCTGGAAATCGAGTGTAAGTGGAGAGGGAGGCAGCAATGAGGGCAATCTGAGAAGTTAAAACCAGAGGCACGGTTGTCCTCTGACCCCTGCAGTCCTGCGGTACATGGGTAATGATTGGAGTCAGCTGTGGTCAGTTCTGGTGCTTTCAAATGCCAGAATCCATGAACAAGGTGTAAGAGATTTGGTTTAAGGCCTTCACTTCCTACAGCTTCTGCACAGCATTTTTGGTTGTTGTTTTTTGTTTTCTTTTTTTTGTTTGTTTTTTTGTTTTTGTTTTGTTTTGCTTTTTGAGACAGGGTTTCCCTCTGTGTGGCCCTGGCTGCCCTGGAACTCATTGTATAGACCAGGCAGGCTGGCCTCAAACTCTCAGAGATCCACTTGCCTCTGCTGGCATTAAAGGTGCTAGCCACCACCACCTGACTAGCAATATTTTTTTCCTTAATAAATCTTTATAACAAGTCTTTTTCTCCTGACTTTTAGCTTATAACACATTCTGTGCATTATTGTCAGCAGATATCTTTATAAAATACAGGTACATATTATAGCTCTCCCCCACTGGCTCCGTTTGACCTTCAAACTTGAATTAGGGAAAGCGTGTAGGCAGACAGGAGCATGGTAACATTAGAGCAGCATGCCCTTCTCTAAGTGTTTGTGCAAGCATCAGAAGGTATCCTTTTCGGCATATTTCACTACAGAATAACGTTGGTAGGCTACTCTGCTAATCGGTGATCCTACCACCCTCCTCACCTTTTAATATGTGTTTGTTTGTTTGTTTGTTTTGTCTAAATAGCCTGGACTGGCCTCAAACTTGAAATCCTCTTGCCTCAGCCTCCCGAGTGCTGTGATTAGTTAGAGGCAGGCATCACCAGGGTTGGCTCAGCACAGTGTCAGTGTCTGTGTTTGGGCTTGGAAACAGCCCCTAATTTAAAAAGACACTGACACAGGCCTACTTCCAATCTGAGGATCAGCCCTCCTGTGTTCTATGGAAGGACACTGAGTACCTCCTGTGGATTGTGGAAGCCACTGTGAACCAGCCTCTGCATGAGTAATTTCCAATAACATTTCATCTGTCTTACATTTATTCTTGCATTTTAAGTTCTCTTTAAAATCACCTCATTTGCCTGAGACTCAGAGAAAAGTATATTTTTGTTTTTATGAATCTTTTCATCAGAAGTTTTATTATTTTTTATTACTTTTATTTATTGTGTGCCACACCACACAGGTAGAGATTAGAGGACAGATTGTGTGAATCTGTTGTTTCTTCCTACAGTGTGGGTTCTGGGGATTGAACCCAGGTAATCAGACTTGGTGGTGGGTGCCATCCACTGAGCCATCATTAGAGCCATCAACTCTAATACTAAATTGCTTTTGTTCTTTGGAATAATCCAACAGAAAGAGAAAGCAGATAATCTGGTAATCATTCAGCAATGAAACTTGTTCTTACTGTAGGAAACGCCAGCCAGGAGATGAAAGCCCTGTGATGTCCTGTCAGACTTCCATCAGCCACCGAAGCAACTCCAGAGCTGGTGCTTGGGAAAACCCAGAAGCCCCATCTGCCCTGGCTTGTCACTGCTGACTTCTGTGAACTAAAATGTTTGTGTTTTATTTTAGTGACGCTGTACGCCTCCTGCATCCTCCTGGGAGTGTTCTTGAACAGCAGCGTTCCTATATTTTTTGAGCTTTTTGTGGAAACTGTCTACCCTGTTCCAGAAGGAATTACTTGTGGAGTTGTCACTTTTTTAAGTAATATGTTTATGGGAGTGCTTCTATTTTTTCTCACATTTTATCATACAGGTAAGAATTTGATTCCTTTTATTTGCTTTCTAGCTGTGTTATGAGACAGGTTTGTAGAACTGATGGATAGGGGACCTACGAAGAGAATTCCCACTAAAGCGTATTACTTGATGTAAGCTTTCACATGCCAATAAAATGATAACCACGGTTTTTTTTTTTTTTTTTTAAGTGTGCCCACAGGCACCCCCACCCCCCACCCCTAGAGTGTTCAAATTAAACTAGGTGGAGAGGATTGTCGTTTGTTTTCCTGTCTTCTCAGCCCACCCCCAGCCAGTCGATTCCAACACTACTTTAAAATGTGCATAGACGCTGCTCTCTGAGCACAGAGTGTAAATTAGTGTCAGGGGCATGTGGTCCAGGGTTTTGGGGACAAATGAGAGGAAGTCAGTAAGCTGAGCTGTTCTCTACAATGGGACACTCCAGGAGGCCACGTTGTTTATAGGGAACTTCTGACAAGCCTATAATTGAAATAATAACCGCGTTAACCTCCATGTCCAAAAAAATACATCTTCAAAACTTTCAAAGCAACAAAGCATAACAACTTGAACTTCTAGCTGGAAAATCATTATGAGAATGATTTTCATATGTGATTAACGACAAACTAGATGGCCGCTGTCAGTCAGTGTTGCACATAAAGGGTTGTGTATACTCCCTCTGGTTTGGGCTCAGTTTACTGTCAGGGGAGAGAACTTTTGAGTAGTCATAGCCTTTTCTTTTCCATTTCCAGTCAGAAAACACCACCTGTAGAGAGGACATTTGCTTTTTACACAGTGCCCTGCGGCTGTTGTGTTACGGCCTTAATTCACTTTAGATGTGTCACAGTGGAAATGAAGGGGCTGTCGCCTCTTTGCATGGCAGAGCATCAGAGCTAGCGTGTGCCCCTAGCATGATAGAAACAATTTTCCAGCTGACGGGCCCAGGGTTACTAAGTGGTCTGTGCAGCCTAGCAGAACGTGGTTTTTCCTGTCAACTAGAAATAGAGTTTTTCCTCAGATAACAAGAGTTGATGCCGATTGGTGTCATTCCCCAGTGGATCTCTTTTCTTGGTCTCTAGTATAGAACAGATACATACTGATCAGTGTAAAACTGCTTCTTCTCCTCAGTTTCCCATTCCTATGGGGGCGGGGGGTGGGGCTGGACCCTGGACACTTGGCTAAGAAAAGTTTTATTTTACTCATTGCTTTGGAGGTCCCATGTATGATGATGTATCACTCTGATGAGATCTCATAGGGCATGGTGAGAGACACAAGATGTCATCACTGGGCAGGATGACAGGACAAGGATGGGGGGGCACAGTTACAATTTCTCACTGGAGCCCACCTCTCAAAGGTGCAGCACACACTGGGGCTGTGAGTCCAGCACATGGCCCTTACGGCCCAGTCCATGTTCTCACACCGCAGCCTGCCTCCTGCAGGGGAGTGCTGAGTGATTGCTGTCCATTGCACTTCTAGGTCCAGCAGCAGCTTTTGATAGAGCTGCAGGGATTGACACCTGGCCTCACTTAGCTGTAACTCTCATGCCTCGGATTTAAAGTGACCAGAAAAGCACTGAGCACCATTTCTACTAACCCCTGCCCTAGTGATGATTCCTGCTAACCCCTGCCCTAGTGGTACCTGCCCTACCAGGAATTTTATCTGGCTGGGAGAACACCATCCTCTGTTAGTCGGTGCTTGCTGATCATGTGTTTTTACACACATCTGAACAGCTGGTGCAGGGTTTCTACCTAACCTCTTGGCTGCTGTGAGCAAATAAAACCTTGGTAATAATTTTAATCTACCAAAATGATTTCCAGACAGAAAACTTTGAGTAAATGCTGATATGTTGGTAGTGGGTGTGTGGGTAGGTAAGAGAGCACACTGTGTACACACCTCGGAAGTGTGCATTGTTTTTTCTTGGTAATTGACTCATTGATGGTACAGTGTGAATGAGCATGCTTCTGTCCTAGAGAAGTGAGCCCCGTGAGTATGTGAGACCCCAAGCATGGTTAGTGTGACCCTTGTTGAAATCCCTTTACATACAGTTAGCTGACTCTGCCCTGCAAATCCTGGCCTCAGAGTGCTACATGCTTTAAGACTTTAGGATAAACTGAAAATCTACCAATTCTATGAAACGGTTTCCTCAGATCACTCCTAGTACTGTAGCCCAGTGCCCTAAACATTCATATAATAGACTTGATGAGCTTTGAGAAAGCAAGTGTGGAAATGGCATAATTCTGTAACTTTAAGATGAAAACTCATCTGGGAAGTAGATGTGAAGATCCAACTACCATTGCCCTCTGGTATGTCCTGAGTTTGTTGTTGTTTTAAGAAAGCCTGGGTTTCATTCATTCATTCTTGTTTTAAAGATACAGTCTCACTGTATTGCCCACACTTGTCTCAGACTCCAGGGCCCCAGCCACCCTCCCGAGTACCGACACTGACAGAGAATGCGTCCCCATGCCTGGCGGAAACTTGGATTTTGAGCATTGTGAAGAGCTGTGGTTTTTAGCATTCCTCTCAAGGAAGTACACTGCTTCCTTGACAGGGTTCTTTCCCACCCACACTGAGCTGTCTGGCGACTGTGTTGAATAATATTTCAAGGCTGTGCAACTCTCTCCCAAATGAACACGTCAGATCAGAATGCCTTGCCTAAGGATGGCCTCCTCCTGTGACTGCGTCCAGGTCAAGGCCACTGCTTTTGTGGAGCCCTGGACCATAGAGCGTTTCACTTGTGCCTTGGCACATGGAACCATATCAGAAATTTTTAGCACACACAGTGCAGAGGTGCTGTGGGGTGGGGGTGGGGGTTGGTGTGTGCACACACAGTGCAGAGGTGCTGTGCAGAGCTCATGCAGAGGGAAAAGTGGACTTGAGGATGAGGCTGCAGTGTGGTAGACATTGGGAAGCAGCTCCTGCCAGGGTATGTTCATAGTCCTGCCTTCCGGCACAGATTGCTGTTTTCTCCAGTGGGAGGAATGGGAAGGATTGTAGGAAACTGCTCGGCCAATCAGATAAAAGAGTTAAGAATGCAAATATTTTGGTGGATTGGATGCCAATCAGTTATATTGTGTGACACCAAGCTTGGAAGGTCAGGGGTTTGTTAACTTGACAACTTAGACAGATTGAATGTTTGAGGGGGTCTCTCTGCCCCCTGCTCCCCCCAGCTGTGGTTTCTATGAATAGTTTTCAGTCAGGAGATGCAGGTACTCCCCTGCCTCTGACCTTTTGCTTTCTGAAAAGGGAAGTGTTTTTAAAGAACATTCGCTGTTTGTTGAACCAAGTGAATTTCTTCAAAGTGGACTTGACTTTTCAGAGAGACACAGTAATGAAACAAACATCTGAACCTGGACAGAAGGGATAATTTCACCCTCTAATGAAATAAATGTTCAGCTTTGGCAATATTGGACAAATTCCTCGCCAGAAGGAGAGCCCAAGCTAAGTCAGTCATGGCACATGTATTGCTTTCCTTTCCCATAAATTAAAGTCACTGATCTATAGAAGATGCCCTTGTGAATCACACGGTCAGGTGTCTGCTTCCTTTTAGCTGTTCACAGTGTGGCCTTCAAGTCAGAATACTCGGGGTTAGTACAGCCTGTGCTTTCAATGTTCAGTCCCTCCTCTAACTGCTTCGTCTTGCCTAGGAAAATTATCATCAGCAATCCAGGCTGTGTATTTAATATAGAAGCAGAAGATGCCCAAGTGTCCTTCCAGGGACTATGAGGATGAAGACAGGATGCTAGGGGCCAGAGCTTTCTCTCAGTGTTTAGGTTCCATGAAATCCAGGTAGAATGCAGCAGTCAGTTTGGCAGAAAATGATGGTGGGGTCCACATTATGGGATGGCAAGTCTGACTTTAACTGCAGTCCACATCTGTTTACATTATGGGATGGCGAGTCTGACTTTAACTGCAGTCACTAAGAGGTGAGGATGCTGCTTTCTGAGCACAGTATAGAGAAAGTCACATCACTCCTCTTTACCAGCAGGTTGGTTCCTGATGCTGTCCAGCATGGGTTGCTCTCTTAGGCTCTGAGTTGTGGGTAAAATAAAGCAGTGATGTGAGGGTTCTAGGATGACTCTGAGACTGAGACTGCATTAGCATTTTAAGGAAGACAAAGGGAAAGTGTAAAGTGTAAAGTGTAAGGAAAGGAGGGAAGAAGGAAAAAAATCATACCCATGTTTTCCCATTGGAACTGATGACGTTAGACTAGAGAAGTTGTCCCCAACCACCATTGACAAGCTCTTCATGCCAAGAAGTTGCTCTCCCAAACTGGGGGTTGGTGGGCAGGTAGGGTGGTGGCAGTCACAGTTGAGTGACAGCAAACACCTGGGAATGTCCTGCTACTCCTAGTATTTTTTCAAGCTGATCTTTGATGCCATTAAATCAGGTAACAGTCAAATCACTTTTGCAGGTTTCCCACTGAATGGCATAACCCATGAATATTTGTGGTAATGGGAAAAACTAGAAAAGATAAATACAGTGGTCTCACTAGGAGTAGAAATGGTCAATTCTTGAGTGTTTTACCTTATTTTCCACATATTCTAATTCATTTTGCAATGGCTACTTTTTAATATTTTTTTGTTGAGAAGTACATAAATCCACCAAAAGAATACAAGAAGGTTGTCTGACAGTAATTGAGGAGGTGGGGAGACAGCCCGGTGTGTTGCTGTGCAAACATGAGGCGCTGACTTTGATTCTCAGGGCCCATGTGAAAAGCAAGGCATGGTCACATGCATCTGTAACTCCAGCGCTGTGGAGGGCAGAGACAGGAGGATTGCTGCGGTTTGTGGACCACAGTGTAGCTGCTAAAACAAAAACCTCAGGAGTCCAGGTTCACTGAAAGGCCTTGTCTCAGGGGGATAAGGCAGAGTATGGCAGAGAAGGACCTGACCTCTGGCTGTGTGCACACCTATACTCATGTGTGTGTGCGCGAGTGTGCCTGTGTGTGCATATAAATAAAATAAAATGAGGTAATTGTTCTCTTTACCTAAGACCTCCAGATATTTCTAAACAGACACAAGAGGGCACTTAAAAAACAATTAACAAGCTACACTTAAAGTGATCAATTTTTTCCCCTTTCAGTTAATAGATTGATTTTGTAACCAAAGTCAAGGTGTATTACATTGATGAAAAGTTGTTAACACATCGATTGAATATTCCACATGGAAGTCAGGTGATACACACATCACGTGTGTAGTGAAGTGGCTTCCAGGTGCTTTTGTTATATGTGCTTTGGAAGGCAGAGCAGGTGCAGCTGATGCAAAAATACTTAAAACTGCTTTTTTTTTTTTTTTTTCTTTTTTCCTTACAGAGTTGTCTTGGTTCAACTGGTGCCTTCCCGGGTCATGTCTGCTCAGTCTTCTCCTCATTCTGTGCTTCAGGGAATCCTATGACAGACTCTACCTTGATGTAGTCGTCTCGGTTTAATGCCACAGACTCTCGGGACTTCAAAGGGACTGCACGTCAGTGCTGCTTGGAATTTGCTTGGAATTGCACATCTAATGGGAGGAAAGGAGAAGAAACTTCTTTCACAGGTTTTGTTAGGTTACAGAATCTCACATTAATTTAATGACTACTGGGTAACAATGATGCAGGACTTGAGTGTCGTGGGAGTTTGAAGCCTCTGTGGACCGCACACCGTGCTGGCAGCACATCTATGCTGGGCTCTGGAGTAGGGATGTGACATCTCACATGGGATACACTGCTCACGTAAGTAGCCCCTTGTGTGCGGTCGTGACAGTGCTAACCTACTGACGAGCTGAATTACGAGAAGAAGACTGGGCGCCCGTTCCGTGAAGATGACTCCTCCCAAGCACACGGCAGAAGGAGACACGCCACTAACTTCTAAAGACGTTTAAACCCTGTATCAAATTTTAATTAAAAATAGCCGAGCTGTATACCAGTGATAGGACTTAGCCACATGTACACTACGTGTTTTTCTAATAAAGCCATTTCTTATATGACTCCTTATTTTTAATCAGGTTGGAAGCCTTTTGCTGTCTTTGGGCACAGGCACTGCCTCATCCCCACTAGCCCTGTTTCTGTGATTACAGCATCAGTCACAGCAGCAAGGTGACGAAATGCCTGATAGGGTTGCATTAACTGTTGTGTGAAAAGTGTAATTCCGTTATGATTTGGCACTTTGTTAAGGATTAAATGAGAGTCACACGAAGCATGAGTGTCTGCAGCACCTTGTAGTAGCACACGTGTAAAGTCCAGCCACCACTGTTATTTACCAGCTTAGATTGTATTTAAATGACCCCCATTTGAAAAGAACAGTGTATAACATTGAAGGTTTCAGATCTGTGCGTGATTTCTGATTGAGCCCTTGTGTTTAGATTGTAATATACTCAATGCTAAATGAAGTCATTGTATTTGATTGGACAACACTTTGCCAATACCTATTTCTTTCTATAAATAATGGATTTTTTAAAAAAACAGACTCATCAGATGACTCTTGGACCTATCTTTCACTAGGTCATAGCATTCTCTGTGATCGGCCTGTGGCACTTGACTGCTCATGGTTGCAGAGCTCTTCTCACACAGAACCAGACCTTTCCCAGACTTCCAGAGCAGCAGCAGCCTTTACTGTCTGTCTCCCCGTCCCCCTTCCCTTACATGAAATAGAAACTCCATTGCCAGCCATTCTCCACGCATGTGGAAGCCGGCTCCTAGGCTGGGCAGTACTGACTTCAGCCCACCCTGTGCACCATTGCTCACCCGCAAGTGCACCTCTCACCACAATTTCAAGTTGAAGGCCATGCACCAACTACCTTGGCCTTGAAGGAGAAGTCTAGGACTGCCTAGTATCTTCTGAGGCCTTAATTGTGAAGTGAGAAATGCAAAGCCCTCTGATTTCACACCTGTCTTCAGCCACCACTGCATCGATGCATTGCTGCCACGTTTCCCATTCTACCCAGTCCGTTCCCTTAGCAGCAAGGACGGAAGGAAGAGCCTGTTAAAGAGAGGAAAACAACCCTGCCCAGCCAGGCTTAGCTCCGCTAACTTATCCTCATCCTTCCTACAGTGAAACAGAGGCGGAATTCTGAAGATGACGGGAAGCTTGTCACTGTGGACATGCAAAATAGCCACCAGCTCCCATTCAGGGAGGAGAGAGAGAGCAGAGGGAAGGGATGTGAAGTGTTGGACGGTGCTGTATAAAATCTGCTATAAAAAGACTTCTGATGAGGAACACTTTAATTAATGGTTAACTCTACTTTTAACACAAAGTACAGAATAACGCTTAAAAAATATAGCCTAAAATAGCTAATGACTTCAAGGCATTTCAAATGGATGCGTTGTACCAACCAGTAGCTCTTCCCTTCAGCAACACCAGAGGCGAGGCCAGTCAGCTCATCTTAGCTATGCGACCCACCCGTCCAGCAAACAACTGCTGTGCTCACACGTTGCAACTTTCATAGGGCATCCAGTCCTGGGGAGACGGTACATTATGTACTCGAATGCTGCAAACCCTATCATTCCTAGTGGTCGACACATACTAGCTTTGTCCTTGTCTCATGCCGGAAGAAGCCTTAGCCCTCCACCAGTCTGAGCTCTCTGTACATTTATAGAAATGATCCTAGAAAAGTGAGTTACCTTGACAAAAAGACTAGAGTCATCTAATGTCTGTGGGGATCTGTTCCAGGGTGCCCTTGGATATTCAAGGTCTCTGTAGAAAATGAGTTAGTATTCACATATTGCCCCCCCCCACACACACACCTCCAAGGTATTTGAAACCATATCCTAGAATATTTGAACTACCTAGTCCAATCTGTGAGTAAGCAGCTATGCTGTGTTGTTAGGAAGTAAGAAAAAAGTCTATACATGCTCATTTCAGTTTTCTTTTTTTTAAATCTTTCAGATGTGTGGTGGCTTGAGTCCATGGATGCAGAAATGGAGAGGGGCACTATAGTGACAGATGCAGACCTGTATTTTCCATGGAGAGAGACACTGTAGTGACAGATGCAAACCTGTATGCTTTCCGCCTACCTCACAGCACTACAGCTTAATTTAAAATGCTTAGGATATCCATGAAGTTTCACAGGTCCAGAAGGGAGGGGCTGCAGAGTGCCTCAGCTGCCACCCACCCCGTGGGAAGTACAGGGTCGGAACTCCGTCGATTGGTTCTCTCATACAGTTTGAGCCGTGTGACAGGCACTCTAGCCTCTCTGCAGTCTTACCTCGCAGGGACTTTATGCGAAGATTCTAATGAATAATTCAGCCCTCATAAGCGTGCCTACAGCATTATTAATTGGTGAGGACATGCTATCGTCTAAGCTCCCTGTGGCTTATCAATTAATACTTCACAGTTCATGGGAAGAAGTGTTTTTAATATGATCCATGGTAGAGATGTAGGAACAAGATAATTACACAGATGCGTTTCCCTGCAAGAAGGAATTCACAAGAGGGAACCAAGTACACATGTAATTTTGCATATTTAACTGCATATGGCCTAAGGGCCAGGTCTTCTCCTGGATCATATATTCATGTTTAATTATTGAAAATGTTTACAGCTTGCTTTTAATGAAGCCTGTCTAACGAGGGATCCAGGCTAAGGGACTTGAAGTTGAAGAGATTAAATCCCCATCTACTTATCTTTTAATTGGTTTTTTAAAAACCCTTATTTTTACTAAAATTGAATACTCATCTCGAATTCTGCCTGAACACCAGCTTTATTTATAAATCAAGATCAAACAAAAATACATAGCAAATTTGCCTTCAGTTAGTGCCAAATCTCACATTAATTTCATATTTGTTCTTGAACTACTAAGTACAGGGGTTACTATGGTCATGTAAAAGCTTTGTCCATGAGGCCGTGGGTGCACCTCAGTGGTAGAGCTCTTGCCCAGGGTGCACACGGCCCTGGGTTCAGTCTTCGGCACCAAAACAACAAAAACCCTGTTACGTTGAATACAAAACTATAACACATTTGAGCAGACTTAGAAATACAGAAAAGATAGAATTTCTTATCGTCATATAGAGGCGGGTGAGATAAATCTTACCTGTGACAGCAGTTTGCTAGTCAGTTAGGAAAAATAGTACAGGGAAATGGTAGGATACTCTACAACAGAAGTTTATAGTGGGTTGTGCAGGCCCATCAAGAGCATGAACCAGAGTCCCCAGTGCTTGTAGAGATGTGTACCTGGACAGGCATCTTGGCTGTCCTGAGAACTCAATACCCTCCTGGCTCAAGTGGAAACTCAGACTGGGAGACAGAATGCCAGGATACCAGGAGAACCCAAAGGGTGCTATCCCTGGATGGGAGATGCCAGTGAGAGAGGCTGAGGACACACAGGCAACTAGTCCTAGCTCTAAACTCTTTCTGGGTCAGGGCTGGAACAATGCCAGCCTCATTGCATCCTGCGGATTCCTGGAGCGCCAGCTTGTTCAGCTTGCCTGCCGTACCTCAGCTTTCTGCACTATGGATGACTGTGCCCTCGGCTCTGTGCTCTCGAGGATGTCTCACTTCCCTGCACTGACTTCTTGTCTACTTGACTGATGCCTTTCCACAGCCTTCCAGGAGAAAGCAGTCTCTCTGAGGAGCAAACAGGCAGCAGTCACTGTCCTCTCTCCTGAACAGGACACTGACCCAGAACAAATCTCAGGAAAGCCAGGCAGAGATCAGTTTTTCACAGCACGTCTTAAAAACTAGACTACCTCAATGAACTGGGAGTTTCGGGGTTCTACAGACGGGCATTGTGGTCATCATGGGTTTTAAATGATGAGCTCATTGCTTGATTGGTCCTTTGGATGTTGCCTTACAACTAGGTAGGCCTCAAATCAGCACACATGCCCCAAACTCCACTGGCCTTTCCATTAATCAAGGCAGGGAGAGAGGGGGGCAGGGGGGAGGGAGAGTATATGTGTGTGTATTTAATTCAAAATGCATTTAATGCATTTCTGCACCTTTTAGCCAGATCAAGTATAAAAAGTGAAAACAACATGTAGCATGGACACAACAAATTATTTTAGCTCCAAACGTGGGGTCAACACATTGCAAGGCTGGGGCTTACTAGAAAATTCCAATGCTATGGTGTTCCCTGGCTGCCCCTCTGAATCCTCTCATTTATGAGCAAAATGGTCAGGTGTACGGCTCTTTGGTTTACCTTAATCTTAGAAAGCAATACTCCTTTTAAACAACTACAGGGTTTTTTTTTTTGTTGTTGTTGTTGTTGTTGTTTTATTTTTTTGTTTTTTTCTTTTTTTAAAATTTTTAGAGTTATTTTTAATGGTTATAATGAAGCCAATTTTCTTCACAAAGAATCTACAGGAAGATTTAACACTGTATGATTCTTGGGTACAACCAACAAATTAATATAGATTAACTATCTCACAAGTCCCACCAAGCACTGACTTTTGAGTTCACAAATTTTGAAAATACACTTTAAAAAACACCCTCCAGTCACTGTTCACAAACCCAGTTGCTTTCTTAAAGCAAGTTCCAGAGTTCACAGGGTTCTATGCTTCCAAGGAACTCCAGATCCTGGCAGTCATTAGTCCTCCTCTTTCTCAATGTCTTTGCATTAATCCACGCCATCTGCCTGGCCAGGTACCTGTCTCTCGCTGACATCACAGTTTCCTCATTGCTCCGCTTTGCAAACTTGCTCAAGGCCTTGGGGGGGGGGTTCGATTGCTCACTTCCCTTCTCTTGTCTTTCCTCTTCCAGTCTGTGTTTTGTTGCTAGTGATGTTTCAGAACGAGAGGGCTTCTCTTGGTCCCCATTGTCCTTTTCCATGTTTCTTACTTTGTTGGATCTTTCCTGGTCAAGAAACTCGTCCTTTGGTTTAGATCTTGGGCTGCTTTCCCTTCTGTCTCGATTTCTTTCTTGTTTTTCCATCTCTGTGTATCTACTGTTGTTTTCATATCTTTCCTTTTTTCCTTTCATATGTTCTTCTTTCTCTTTGCTTTTCTTTTCTTTCTCATTGTATTGGTCGTGGTCATTCCATTGTCTGTTTTTGTCTTGTTCTCTAGAGGAGTATTTCTCCCTTTTCCATTCTCTGTCCTATCTTTCTCTCTGCTCCCCCTCAGATTATCTTCTTTTGCTCATGCCTCTTCCGGTAGTGATCTTTGTGATCGGTTTCTCTGTGCCTGTGAGAACTCTTTTCTTTCCAGTGGCTGTGGTCCATCTGACAGCTCTCCTGCTCTCTGGCCTGCCTGTCCTGGTGCTGACCTCCCTTTTGGTCATTTCCTCTTGACTTGGGACTTCTGGAATGGTGCTTAGCACCATGTCCTCTTTCTTCACTAGAGGATCGTGAGTGGGTCCGATTCTTGTGATGCTTGGGGTACTTCTTAGTGTCTTCTTCCCTTCTGTGGCTGACTTTATTTTCTCCCCTTTCAATCATCCTCACTGTTCTTAGTGTTAAAATCGCTATCAGCATCTGG